CATGACTGCAGTAGGTTTTTATTATTTTGTCCTTAGGCAGTAGCATCTGGCTTCTGTAGAGACTGTAAAAATTAAAAAGCAACACAAATCATTGCGAGAGGAAAGCAGTAAATTCAATGATAAGAATTTAAAATTAAAATGTTTCAGCGCTTTTATATTCTGCAAAACATGAAATGAGTGAGTTTGTTGCCCGTTGCCATAAACCTCACCCAGCTAATCGTCCGCTTGAGTTTTTTCCTGTCTCTTTCGCTCATCACATCAATTCTGTCTCAGCACAAGGCGTAAAGTGAGAGCCGTGTGTGTGTGTGTGTGTGTCTGTGTTTCTGTGTGTGTGTGTGTGTGTGTGTGTCTGTGTGTGTGTGTGTGTGTGTGTGTGTCTGTGTGTCTGTGTGTCTGCATGTGCCCATGTGCTGGCATATATATGCATGTACGTGCATGTGTATGTATAGTGGGGCTGGGGCAGAATGGTGGGTGCACTCACTGATCTCTGCCTCATTAGAATGGAAGAGACAGCAGCAGGGAGTCATCATGTGTGAATCAGGGTAGGGAAGGAAGAGTTGGAGATTATTACATCCCCATGGGTCAGAATTCCCTTTTTTCATCACCCTTTCTAGTTAAATACAAAAACAAAACAAAAATCTCAAACCAACCAACAAACCAACAAAATACTCCAGGTCACAGACGTGAGCATAAACAGCATCCTATAGCATCCAAGTTAAAATTTAAAAAGAATTCCCTGAGCAAGCGTGTGATGCTGGATTAGGCGTGTGAGCGGGTGGTTAGCTCTTTCTCATTCCAGAAATGTGTGGTCTTTGGATGGGGTTCTGGGCAGTGGGATGGGAAGCACCTTAGGCTCCTTATTCTAATTAGAAGATTTAGGGTTTCTGTGTTGAGGTCAGTCATTCTTACTGCAAAATCGAGTTGTGACTCTGGGCCCAACTATGTCCTGGGCTGTGAGGGAGAGAAAAGTTGATCGTTTTTCTTTCTTGCTCTAGAGGAGCTGTAGCAAAAAGAAAGAAAGAAAGAAAAAAAGAACCTCTTTTAAACAGCCAGAGGATAATTTAAGACAAATGTGAGTAGGGATTTGATGGCGTTATATACCTGTTTGCAGAAGTTCTGGGAAGCGTGCAGAGTGATGTGGGGTGAGTTCAAGGTGAGCGGTTAGGTCTGAGTTTCCTTGAGCTAATTCTCCAGTCTGTCGGACTTGGGACCTGGAAGCCTTGGAAAGCCTGGGGTGAATGCTGTTAGGGTGAGCTCACCCCCCTGTCTAAACCGGGCCACGGGACTGGGAGAGTGAGGGGGAATGCTGCGGGTCCCTTTTCACGTAGCCTGTCCCAGTTTGACTGCTGGACCCACAGGCATGAGGCCAGAGCTCTTTGTCCCAGACGAACTTCTTCAGCTCAGAGAGAGGTGAGAAAAGAGAGCCAGTCCTTGGCCTCCGTCAAAGGGAATGAAGGAAAGTGTGAAGATTAGTGGACGGAGGGGTCGAGTTAAGAGGGTATGACTAATAGGCTGGTCATTCATATAGGAGAGCACATTGTTCTCTGGGCCCAGATGGTCCTTGGAATAAATCAGCTCAGGCAGAAGCAGACTTCCAGTACAAGGAAGTGGGAGCAACTGCTTGCCTGCTATTCTATAATGACATAGCCCAGGCCCCTGGCCCTGAATAGCAGCCATTCAGGTCCACACTGTGGGTGCTGGAGCCAGGGATGTGTGTGTGCGATGCATGCGCATGTGTGTGAGCAATGCGTGTGTGTGTGTGTGTGTGTGTGTGTGTGTAAATATGTCATGTTCTAGCCTCCGAGGCTCACAGAAGAGTGGATGAGTGTTTGTGTTGTAAGGAGCCGGCACAGGGAGATTTTTACCTTGGAGCCCTTTCTCAACTTTAAATTCCAACCCTGAGAGTTGTATAAGTACTGTAATCATTTGATTAATGTCTCCTTCAGTAGATAGGAAGCTCTAACAGGGCAGGGTCTGTGTCAGTCTGATTCATCAGTGTCTCCCCAGACCCCACTTAGCACAGGGGCTGGTGGGTACTTGATAGACACAGATGGAGGAAAGTTCTAGCAACATTTTAATTTTTTCCCATTGCCTTGCAGTCGTACCCCGACTTTAATGAAGTAACATGTAAGTAAACGTATCAGCTGTTCCACACATGACTTAGGGATACTCCTGAGGACAGAGTGAGCTAGGGTGGGGACCTGCACCCCAGCAGCTACATAGAGTCTTGGGTGGTGCAGGTCCTTTATTTCTGTACTTGGGACACTCCACTGATAATGTGGCTTTGAAGCAGGACTTTCTGTTATAAAAGTTTTCAAGGTAGACAGCTTCCCCAGTTTCCTGGGTTGAAGACATGCAGGCAGGTGCAGGTTGTAGAAAATGTGTGAGCATCACAGCGCCCCATGGTGGCTTTTCTGGCATAGTGGCCAACACTGCAATGGAAGAGCTCACCCACACCCCCCTCATGCCCTGCAGTCTCCATTCAAAGGCTGTGCTATTTCCTTTTCCCTTCAGAACCTATTCAGACTTTTTAGGAATGAGCGTAGGGAAGAGCCAAGCAGGAGTGTCACTGAGTAAACAGGAATAATCAAACAGATACTCCCTCGAGAGAGTTTTCTTTCTATGAAGATGTTAATTAATATGAACGCTTTGTCCTTGTGTTCTGAGGCAGACTTTCTGTACCAACAGGGTGTGACTGCTGATCCAGCCCTGCCTAAATCTGATCACTGGGGTCTTTCATCCTTCAGGGAATAAGCTCCTTTGGAGAATCAAGCCAGATCCTGCCTGTTTGGAGATTAAATAAGTTGCCAGGTCTTAAAATTTAAAATTAAATGCATATTAAGCAAATGACAGTGGAGGGAGCTGAAGACACCTTAGGCCTGGAAGCTTTTGAGTTAGAGAATGTTGCAGGGACTCCACACGCATCCCCTTCTCCACTCCACCCTCCTGTCATGCCATCCTGACTTAACACTCGCTGTAAGATGCTTCTGATGACCCAAGACTCAGGCTGCCAGAGTATCTGAGTTGGGTGATTTGGGGGCTGTTTCTCTCCCATTCATATCTGAGATCTTGAATGGTCCTCTGGGCCATTTCTTGAGTGTTTCATTCTCCAGGCCCCTCAGAGTGAGGCAATCTTTAGCATTCTCTGACTGTGCTGGTATTACTAGGAAATGACAGTCTTCTCTTAAAAGGCCATTTCAGAAGACAACTGCAACTGAATGACTCAGGCAGAGTAAGGAAAGGGCAATAGGATGAGTGGAATGTATGGCCCAGGAGCTTTTGGAGAATGGAGGAACCAAGGAGGAATACAGGATGGGTATGTGGCTAGAGGAAACCCGTGTTACAGAGTGTCTGTGACCATGCACTGACTGTCCAGCTTGGCTGTGGTGTCGCCTGCAGAGAATACACTGATGAAACAAGTGAGTCTTGGGCGAGGGGTGGTGTGGACCCATACTTGATGGAAATTGTCTTTGGAATCACAGGGTCTTTCATTCTTGCCTTTCCCACTGATCCTTGAGGTGCTGAAAACTTCACAGAACTTCCACCGGGGTTCAAATGGGGACATGTGGAAGGTTCTTCCAATCCATTCCTCTCAATGACTTTTGCCTGAAGACTCCAAGCCCACTATTAACTCTAGCCTGAGTGAACAGAAAGTATCATCCATGCTGTCTAATTCTCAGTAGCCTCTTGGACTGACCTGAAAGTCACAGCTCCCCCAACCCCCAAAATAAAAGTTAAGAAAGAAGCTTAAAGTTGATGGAATAAACACGACTGCTTGTCCTTCTTATTTTTAGGGGTTGAGAGATGCAGGAATCAGGAAGTATAGGAGAGAGCAAAGTCCTGGGCAGAAACCTGAATGCATATGGCAAGGACAAAGGATGCTTTGTACGGGAGCTGGTAAATCCCTGGGGGGTGCCTGCATTGTCACTTTTGTTTGCAAGGACACCTGGCATTGTATCCACCACTGTCAGATCATCTCTAGAATCACAAGAACCAGGATCATTGGCCAGGACTGAGAGCTACTCACATCTGACAAAAGTCTGTTCAACCCTTAAACCCACTTTTTGCTTTCCTAGAAGGAGGGTGTTAGTGGTCACAATTTCTGGGCATGCTGGTGACATGGCTTTTGGCATTTCCATTAGCATCCCTGTTCTAGAGAATCCCCAGATGCTGTGAAAATTGATCTCAAAACAGTATATCATCTATATCACCATCTGAGGAGGGACAAAAACCCACCAAGAGTGTGATTTGGGGGTACCTCTCGCTTGAATGTAGAGGGCTTGGCCTCTGGGGTCAGCTTATGTGCCTGAGGGCAGCTGACAGCAGGCCCTGCAGGGAGAGCTGAGAGCCTGCCCTGGCCTTGGAGGAGAAAGAGATAGGAAGTGTGCACCAGGAGACATCTACAGCCTCAGGTCTATGTTCCACCAGTGCCCAGGAGTTCTTGTCAAGTTTGACTTCAGCTCCCAAAATGTAGGTGCTCCTTGGCTCTAATCACAGCTTTGGCCACAGAGTAATAGCTGTTCACCCAGAGATCTGTGTCTTCAATTGATGTGAATGACTCCTCATCAGGAAGGGTCATCTGGGTAGCACTGCACTGGACACCCCATGAATGAATACATCCAGGTCAAGAAACCTGCAAAAGCCTATGCCGTGCTCCTAACACATGTGGGTATGAGTGTACACCTCACAATCACATGTATTAAAAGATACGGGAATATATGGCTCAGAAGCCTGCAACTCATAGGGAATTGGGCTGGTGAGTGGGTGGATGGCTTGGGAGAGGAGGGTAAGCCGGCACATTTACTTGAGGTTGGTCAGAGTCAGATATTAATGGGTTAGGCTCTGAAAATTATAACTTGCCTGGGGCTCTGGCTTAAGCCCGTAGAAGTATCAATGGGTTATCTTTAATGTATTTATTTGTTTATTAATTCATTTAGTATTTATTGAACACCCATTATGTACCTAGTACTATATTAGGCTCTGGGAATGCAGTGGTGCACAAATCAGAACCCACGTCTTCATGAGTTTCATGTCTTCTAGGGAGACATATAAGAAAATAAGCAAGTCATATACAGGATAAATACTGCTATACTGGAGATACAGGATGTTACTAGAGCACATATCAGCAACCTCCAACTTGGATGGGGTGTTGGGGAGGCTTCCTGGAGGTAGTGTCACCTAAGCTGTCATCTGAAAGGTGCGAAGAAATTAAGACAATGAAGGAATAGGGGAGAAAGGGAAGAATATCAGGCTGAGAGTCAACGTAGGTAAATGTCCAGAGTGGGGAAAGAGTAAGCCAAGTTCGTGGAACTGAAAATGGAAGTGGGGAGGAGGGCTAAGATCTGAGGTTAGAGGAGTAAATGGCCATTAAATGGTGAAAGGCCCCTGAAAACCATTTTAAGTCATTTTTGCCTTTTTCTGGGGACAATCAGGAAGTAATAAAAGGATCCTAATCAGAGGAGGGACATCAGGTGATGTTGTGGAAAAGTTACTTTGACCACATGGTTGTGACTCAGCTGGAGGGTTTAAGCTGAAGGCAGGGAGACTGGGCTGATACTGCCAGCATTTAGGAAAGGAATACGGCAGTCGGAACCAGTGTCACTCTATGGGGGATGGATAAATAAATGCACAAAAAGATATTAGAAAACTGAAGACATTTGGTAGTTGATCTCTTTTGAGAGATGAGAGGAATCTAGGATAATGCCCCCTTTTCTTGCTTGGGCAACTGAGTGATAGTGGAATTCTTTACTGAAATGAAGAATACAATAAAAAATAGCTTTTTTGTTATTGTTAGGATGATGAGCAGTTTTCATATCATAGTAGCAAGGTGTGTGTGACATCCAAAGGTGGAGTGTGCCTAGGAGGCGTGTGGGTATACAGATGTATCTGAAACTCAGAAGAGAGAGACCCAATGGGTATGTCTATTTTGGAGTCGTCATCAACATATAAATGATCATTGAAGCCTTGGAAGCGGGTGAGTTTATATAACAAGAGAATATAGAAAGAAAAGAGAGCTTGGAATAAAATCCAGAGGAATCTCAACTTATTATACCCCTCTGGAACAATCCTAATCCATGATGGAGATTGAGGAGTCACTGGAAGAAACAGGAGGGAGGCCAGGAGAGGGTGGTGTCATGGAAGCTAAAGGAAAAGGTTTCAAAAAGAAAAAGGCAGTCAATTTTCAGTGGTGCTGAGAAGTCTCCTAAGAGGAAGACTAAAAAACGTCTGTTGCTCTTAGTGACACGGGAATTGCTGGTTATCAAAGGCAAACAGCTTTGGTCTCAGTGGTATGCTGAAAGCAAGAGCGGGATTACAGTGGGTCAAGGAGTTAGTGAGCACTTCGGAGGTAGAGGCAACGTGGGCAGGCAGCTCTGGGAGTGCAGGAGGTGGTTAGACTGATCCAAGCTTAGGGTATAGCAGGCTGGTGAAATTGAAGGATCCCAGACAAGGGAGTTCAGGAATTGGCCAGAAGTCAGCGGGGAGTTGGACGACAGGCCTTGAAGTGTGGGCTGAATAGGAAAGAAGTAAGGAAGGGAAAGGCATGCTAGGGAGATTTTTGAAGATCAAATAATGGGTTTGTTGGGAGTAACTGGATGGGAAAACTTAAAGGGTGGGAATGAGGTTTGAATATAACACTCTAGAGATGTGGCTCTTCTTGGTGATGAAAGACATGGAGCGTTCTCTATAAGCACGTCCCCGAGGGAGCCTCAGTGCAGCTCATGGTACCTGTCTTAGTCCGTAACAGGCTGCTGTAACAGAATGGCTGAGAGTGGATAATGTTTACAGAAAAATGTATTTGGTTCACGGTTTTGAAGGCTAAGTCCAAGATCAGGGTGGCAGCATCATGCAAGGGCCTTCTTGCTGTGCCACTCCATGATGGAAGGTGAGAGGGCAAGAGAGAGCGCAAGAGTGGGATAGACTCACTTTTTTCCCAAAGGAACCCACTCCCTGGAGAATGACATTAATCCATGACTCAGGGCAGAGCCTCCATGACCCAAACACCTCCCATTAGGCCTTCACCTCACAACACTGCTGCGTAAGATCAAGTTTCCAACACAGGAACTTTGGGGGACACATTTAAACCATAGAAGTACCTAAGTTAAAACACCACAGCCACCTGATTTACATATCTGCACTGCACTTAGAGCACTGGATCAGTGTTCTAAGCAGCTACTATTTCTCCATCCCCTAAGCACGTGTCACTGTGATAGACATTTTTGTATATTATCTCTAATCTGTCCAGCAACTTTGCATGGTGGGTATTATAACTCTAATACAGAAAGGAAACTAAGACCCAGAGATACGAAGTGATTTGCATATGATTATGTAACTAGTAAATAAATGGAAGAGTCAGAATTTGAACCCAGGTTTGGTCTGACTTCAAAGCCCAGGCTCCTTGCTTTGTACCTCTGAGACTGTAAGCTTCTTGGGGGCAAGAAGTATTTTCTTAGCATTGTGTAGCCTCGGGTTTGATTTCTACACAGAATTGGAACTTAAGACATTTGAGGTGCATGAGTGAGTAACTGAGTGAGCGATACATAAAGCAACTCTAATGCTGTTTCCCAGGGGAAATAAAGCACCATCACTCAAAGATAGAAATGAAGAGCATTGGAAGAAAGAAAGGAAGAGCAGAAAGATTTGGCCATCAAGCGATGCTGGTGTTGGGTAGCTAGAACAGATGTGCCTTTGCACCATGACTTCTGACCAGGGTGCTGGACAGCCTTTGGTTGGCCTGAGAGGCAGCCCTAAGGCCTCCATCTGCCCTGGCATCAGCCTCGGCTCCAGAGCTGTCAGGCAGTGACCTCAAAACTCCAGAGGAGGAGCTGAAAGGGGTGGTACTTAAGAAACCCACATGGGAGGAGAGAACCCCAAACCACGAAGTGACATTCAACTTTGCATTTCCTTCTGGTGTCAGCATCTGAGGCTGGGGTTTCTCTCCTGACCCACCTTCAGAATGTCCAGGGCTGGCATGTCCGAACATGCGAGGGTGTTGGGGGAGGACCACACTGCCTATCAGCTATGTGAGGAGCATGCACACCACCTAACATGGCCTTGATGTCCAGCCAGACACCTGGCAGACACTCATCTTTCTTACCTGAAACTGATGTATCAAATCAGGAGAGCAGCCTACCTGAAAGGAGGGTAGTTCCCGATTTGGAAGTAGTGGGAAGTGCTGGTAGGCAATGTGGTCTTTTATTTATTTTTTTCTTGACCATAATCAGATTCCTCTCTTGCCTTCCCCAAATAGCAAAAAGGACAGTGTCCTCCTTCCAGGTTTTAAAAGCCCTTGCATGCCGCCTGACATTGTATGAAAGCCTTCCCCTCAGGCCTACAGACTTCCTCTCATTGCCTGCCTGTTCAATAAGCCTGTGCATTTACTTTCCCCTGTCCTCCACCACCACCACCACCCACCTGTTGTGGCAGGGAAGGTAGCATGGTGAGCCCACTGGGCTCCAGCAGGACCGCAGCAAGGAGGATACCGCTTTGTGCAGCAGCGGGGGGAGGGCTGTCCCTGAGGTCCACAGGAAAGTCCTGGGGCCCAGGAGGACAGTGGCCTGTCATCCCCAGCATTGTACATCAGGTGTCCCCCACCTGTGGGCACCATGAACCCCCCCCCAACATCTACCTCCTGGGCTCCGTGTCCTGGGGGAAGGTGTGGTCAGCAGATAGGGGAGGATGTCATGCTGATGGAGACCCTTAGAACAGCAGGAGCTTCACTGGACCACAAAGACTTTCCCCCTTCCTGTTACAGATGAGTTAAAGCCCAGAGAAATCAAATTCATTTGTGTAATCCTTTATCATCCACCTATTCGTCCTTCTCTCCATCCAATAAATATTCACTGGACCCCTGTCAGAACCAAGAGATACAGTGGTATGTAAGAGAAGTGAGGTCGCGGCTCTCATGCGGCTTTCATTCTGACAGGTGGGGAAGACAATCAGTTTGCTCTTAAAGCAAGTCTGTGAGTCTCATGGGTGTCACAGCTGAAGACTGAGGCTGGGCCTCCTGCAGGGTCCTTTGCAAGGCCCCATGCGCCCTGCTTTCTGGGAGGCTGAACATTTAGTTCAGCTCTTCATTGCAGATGGAGAAGTTTGAGGGAATAAATCTTGGTTTGGACTAGATACTTCTGGGTGGCAGAAAGGTATAGGTAGTTTCAGACCAGGATTGGTTTTTTTATTTTTTAATTTTGGTAAGTGATATGTAAAGTAAAAATTGCCTTTTTAACCATTTTAAGAGGACAATTCAATGGCATTAAATACATTTACATTGTCATCCAAACATCAACACACTCTGTCTCCAGAACTCTTATCCCGTAAAACAGAAACACTGTACCCATTAAACGCCAACTCCCCATTCCTTCCCTGGCATCTAGACAGGGATTCTTAACATTTTTTGTGCTGTGGACTCCCTGGGCAGTGCGGCAAAACCTCTGAACCCTTCCTCAGAATCAGGTCTCTAAAGGCAGGAAGTAAAATACCCAGGATTATCATGGAAGCTTGAAATACAGATACCAAAATATTTTTTAAAAAACACTTGTAATATAGTAGTAATATGTGTGATTCTTCGTTATCCCGTTAACCAATAAGATCAAGCTGTGATTGAATAACTGCCATATTTTTGCAGGTGCGGCTTGCATAGATGATACTTTGAAGTGACTGCAACATTTCTAGTGCGATGTGAAAATATCTATGAGTACTGCCCATGTGACTGGCTGGTTGCTTATATTCCTGATGGAAGCAGCTACTGAATTTCAGTTGGGGAGGCTGGTGAAAATAAAGATGTCACTTTTTTCCCTTCTCTCAGTTCACCAGCCTCCTAAATTCTGTCCCTGGACAGCTTAGGTGTTCCGTAGACTCCAGGTTAAGAAGCCGTGCCTAGACCTGAACTTACTCCCCTTTTCTGCCTAGAGGGGCAGTGCATGGGGCTGGGAGCGTGCTGATACATAGGATGTCATGGGTGAAGCCATCCCTATGCAGGGCATCACAGGAGCCCAGCCAAGGGGGAAAGGTGCCCCC